TCTCTGGACCCTCTAAGAAGGCGCATAATTAGACACTAGCATACAGTTAGATAAATGTGAACAGAATATCTACTGTAGGAAAGGGAGGGATGCTGAATCTATTTAAAGGTTAAGGCAAAAAGGCTTCTGCAGTTTGCCTCAAGATTATACCTTAAAACCCAAAGGGAAAAAAGAGTTTATAGGAGGCAGGAGAATCGCTGGAACCTGGGAGGCGGAGGTTGCAGTGAGCCGAGATCGTGCCGCTGCTCCGGCCTGGGCAACAAGAGCAAACCTCCGTCTCAAAAATAAATTTAAAAAAGAAAGTTTAAGGCCAGGCGGGGTCGCTCACACCTGTAATCCAAGGACTTTGGAAGGCTGAGAAGTTGGCGGATCACTCGAGCCCAGGAATTTGAGACCAGCCTGGAAATATGGTGAAACCCCATCTCTACAAAAAATACAAAAATTGCCCACCTGTGGTACCAGCTACTGGGGAGGCTGAGGGTGGAAGGAACGCTTGAACCCAGGAAGTGGTAAAAACTTTTTAAGCGCATTTTAAGGTTAAGATGGCCGGCTACGAAATGGCCATATATTCCACTTACGTGAAATATCTAGGATTAGTGGTTGCCAGGGCTTAGGGTGAGTGAGGGAGGAGTGGACAGTGACTGCTAATGGATAGGGATTTCTTTGTGGAGTGACAAAAATGTTGTAAATTGGTCAGGCGCGGTGGCTCACGCCTGTAATCCCAGCATTTTGGGAGGCCAAGGTGGGCGGATCACCTGAGATCAGGAGTACGAGACTGGCCTGGCCAACATGGAGAAACCCCATCTCTTAAAAAAAAAAAAAAAAAAAATGTTGTAAGTTAGGTAGTGGCCATGGATGCACAACTTTGTGAATATACTAAAAACACTACATTTTATACTTTAAACAGGTGAGTTTTAAAGTATGTAAATCATATCTCGGTTTAAAAACTTTCGTTGAGTTTTTGCCCTCTAGAGGCTCTGGGAGAACTCTGGGCACTCCGGCCCCGCCCCTCCGTTTGTCTTTTTGGCTGGAGGCGTGGAGCGGTCGGTCCCGCCCGTGAGAATGACTCCGCCCTCCTTCCCAGCCTGCCCCGCCCCTCTCGCGGGCGCCGATTTGCGCTTGCGCAGCGAGGCTGGGTTTACGTGGGCGCGCAGTACCGCCTCGCTGGAGTCCACAGGATGGAGGCCGCTGAAGGCCGCCAGGGAGTAGGTTGGCTGCCGGCGCCTGACGCCTTTCCGCCTCCAGCAGCGCCCGAGACAGGGTTTTTTTTACTAAGCCCCACGTGGGGGTGGGGGAAGGGAGGGATCTCCAGGCGTCACGCGAGGGGGGCCTCCCGATCGTCCCTGCCAAACCATCTGCCCGCTTGTGGGGCCGCGCGCGGCCACCCTGGGTATCTCCCGGCTCACGGGCTTCTTTCCACTTCCCCTTCCCGGGGCTCACGGAAGCAGCCGCAGCCCAGCGGCGCAGGAGGAGCGGGGCTGACAGTGGCGCCGACAAGCTCTTTCCGTCAAGGGCTGCATGGGAAGTATTTTCTGCTTTGCAGGCCATCGGGTCTCAGAAACAGTCGGTCCTGCTGTTGTGGCAGGAAAGCGGACAGAGGCAATCATAACGAACGAGCGCGGCTGAGTGCCAGCAGAACTATTTATGGACACTGAAATTTGAATCCCTGTAATTTTTACATATTATGAAATTCTTTTTTTTTTTCTACTACCTACAAATAACAAAAACCATTCTTAGTGTGCTGTATGTAACAAAAACCAAGCAGTATAGTTTGCCGACTCCTGACTATGAGGCAGGTTTGGGAAGGGGGCCCCTTAACGCTTCCTAAGTGGCCTAAAGTACCCTCAGGGAAGGTTCCACAGACACAAAGCTGAGAACATTGCTATGATTTGAGGATTGGGTTCTCTATATCCACCATCCTCCTCTCTCCAACCCTCTGAGAAAGGACAGTCACCAACTGAGGACCACGCTAGTTCATCTGTTTTTTTTTTTTTTTTTTTTTGACACAGGGTCTCACTCTGTTGCCTAGAGATTGCAGTGGTGCCATCTCGGCCTCCTGGGCACAAGCAATCCTTTGATCCTCCCATCTCAGCCTCCCAAGTAACTGGGACTACAGGTGTGCACCACTACACCGGCTAATTTATGTATTTTTTTGTAGAGATGGGGTTTCACCATGTTGCCCAGGCTGGTCTTGAACTGCTGGGCTTGAGTAATCCTTCCACCTCAGCCTCTCAAAGTGCTGGGATTACCAGGCATGAGCCACTGCACCTGGCCCCTAGTTCATCTTTGCAAACTATTTTATAATCTCATTTAATTTTATTTCAATTAACTTTTTGTAGGGCAACCTTTTTTTTTTTTTTTTTTTTTTTTTTGAGACAGGGTCTCACTCTATTGCCCAGGGTGGAGTACAGTTGTCTACCAGTCACTTCTCTCTGTAGCCCCGACCTTCCAGGCTTAAGGGATCCTCCTACCTCAGCACCACACCCCTGCCCCAGTAGCTAGGACTGCAGGTGCACACTACCATGCCTGGCTATGTTGCCCAGGCTGGTCTCAAAGCTAATTCTTTTAAAATTTATTTTTAATTATGGTAAACAGAAAACCTGAGCTTTTGAATCCAAAGTCGGCCTTCTTGCAGCTTTCCATTTCTGTCAGTAGTTGAAGCCTCTGTGACACAGCTGGTTCAAAGAGCTGAGCCGGGAGCTCAGCAGAGGACTGGAAGACAGAATGCTCGTCCCAGCAACGGCCAGAATCCCCTCCTCCCAGCTGACCTTGCTAAAGTGCAGATACTCAAGAGCAGGGGTGACATAGGTGTAACTGACATGTTACACTTGGCATTTGTGCGTTTGAAGAGTGAAGTGTGGGGTCAGGATTTAGGCCAGCCCTGTTCAGTAGAAATATAACCTGAGCCACATGTGAAATTCTAAATTTTCTAGTAGCTACATTTTAAAAAGCAAAGCTAAGTGAAATTAATTTTAATACATTTTCTTTAAATCAACACATTCAAAATAGTATTTCAACATATAAGCCATATAAAACTATTATTATTTGAGAGAGTGTCTTATTCTGTTGCCCAGGTTGGAGTACAGTGGCACAATCATGGCTCACTGTAGCCTCAAACTCCTGGGCTCAAGTGATCCTCCCACCTCAGCTTCCGGAGTAGGTGGTACTACAGGCACGTGCCACCATGCCACACTAATTTTTAAAATTGTTTTGTAGCGATGTGGTCTTGCTGTGCTTCCCATGCTCATCTTCCAACTCCTGGTCTCAAGCAGTGCTCCTGCCTTGGCCTCCCAAAGTGCTGATATTACAGGTATGAACCACTGCACCTAGCCTAAAACAATAAGTATTTTCTTACTTTTAGATGGAGTCTCACTCTGTTGCCCAGGCTGGAGTGCAGTGGCGCGATCTCAGCTCACTGGGTTCAAGTGATTCTTGTGCCTCTGCCTTCTGAGTAGCTCAGATTATCAGTGCCTGCCACCATGCCCAGCCAATTTTTATATTTTTAGTAGGGACATTTTCAACATGTTGGCCAGGCTGATTTCGAACTCCTGACCTCAGGTGATCTGCCTGCCTTGGCCTCCCAAAATGCTGGGATTTCGCATGAGAGCCACTGTGCCTGGCCCCTAAAACAATTAATGAATTTTTTTCTATTATGTCTTGAATACCTGGTGTGTATTACACAGTTGTACCATGTCTCACTATAGACGAGCCCCATTTCAAGCACTCAGTAGCCACATGTGGCTAGCAGTTACTAGATCCAACAGTGCAAATTTAGAGCAAATGAAACAGGAGGTGTGTGGAAAAGAGCTTGGTGTGAGGTTCTGCGATGGGGGAGATCTTGGCTTAGTGTGGAAGAGCAGCTGCAGGAGGTGCCCCACTGCCAGCCAACAGGCTGCCTACACGCCTACCCCAGGCACACCCTAACTATTGCACTCCTCGTGGGGCAGATGGGAGAGGCGCACAGAATGAGCTAAAGTCACTTTTATTGGTCTGTGCCTGAAGATGTGCCCTGCAACTCAGCGTGGGCCTCACCTCGTCTGTCGGTGAGGCTGCACTGGGCTTGCTGGTGGAGGGTGGCAGGTTGTACTTTTGGAACAGAAGGGCTGGCAGTAGAGACCCAAGTGTGTCTTGGACAGGCCAAGGGCCTGTCCGCTGACCTCTCATGCTGGGGAGAGGGGCCAGAAGGGGAAAGGCAAAGTAGCAGAACGTTTCAAGGACTCAGCTTAAAACAGAGGGGGACTGTAGCTCCTAGCCCTCCCGTTCCAAAACTTTAAACCTGCCACCTTCCGCCACGCTTTTAGATGATGAACTTTCTTGACACCTCCCTCACTTTGGGGCTGAGAGGCCTTTTTCCTTTTGGTTCTCACCATCCCTTCTGCCACCACACGGACTCTGAGCCCCACTCCAGGGAGGGGCTTCTGTCGAACTTTCCTCCAGGACCTGAGGGGCCACCAGGGACTTCCCCTTTTGGGAATGTCTGACCATCATCAGGTAGGAAAAGAAACATCTGGGGGCAGGGGCACCCCACTCTTCCCCTCAAGAATGGCTTCTCAGAGACAGCTGTGAGGCTGAGGGACATCTTGAGCATCCTTTCCCCCACAGCCAAACACTTGTTTGGGCTAGTTAAGACTCTTCCCCAGGCCCAGCCACACCTGATTCTGGGGGAGGAGTTAGTGCTGGCCGCCAGGGGTGGCGTTTCTGTGTGCCTCTGTCCACCGTAGCCCTTCTGGCTGACCCCTTGGGTCCTTCAGTTCCCAAGACAAAACAGTGGGAGCCTGGCACTCAGTAAAACTGGGCTGAGCTGCACAGGAGCACAAACAGCAGTCACCAGGGGTTCTCCAAGGACAAGGGTCACCTGGGGTCACCTGAGAGGAAAACATCAAGGTCCAGACACTGGGCTCTGGCCCATGGCCAGTCAGGGCGGGAACGCAGGGTCTGTGGCTCCATGCCAGGAGAAAACTCTCAAGGAAAAAGCAGTTCCACAGAGAGACAGATACTGCAGGTCAGAAAGACAGCCGGATCTGCTCCAGCCACATTTATTACAAAATAGCGACTGAAGTATAGAAAAGGTCCCTGACAGCCCAGCACACTGCAACGAACGGCCCCCACCCCACAGAGTCCCTCCCTCAGGTGCCTCAGGTGTGGAAGGTCTCAGATTCGAAGGTCCCCTGCCAGGAGTGTGCTGTACCGCACAGGTGTGAGGGGCAGGTAGGCACCTACAGCCTGGTCCAGGACATACAGTGGGTCGGACAGGGTGCTGGGGTCAAAGCCCTCATTTGCCATCCGAACTTTCTGCTGTTTGAAGGTCTCTGTGGTGGCCAAAGACTCCTGGGGACAGGAGGAAGGGTCACAGAGAGATGGAGGGAAGGGGACTCTGCCGAGGTAGTTCAGGGGAGTTGCCTGAATTTTGTTAAGGAGCAGGTCTGGGGAAAGGGGGTGTGAGGTCCAGGTTTAGGGGAGGAGGTGAAAGGGAGGAGAAAGAGCCAGGCCAGAAGGCAGGTGTAAGGAAAGAAGGGGGGTGAAGAGTGAGTCTCCATGCTTTTTCTCTTCATGGAGTGTGTTACATTGGGGTTCATCGCAGTCTGGGAGCCATCAGACTCCCAAAGCTGATACATACGGTGAATGTGTAGGGTGAGGACACGTGGGGTGAGGGGCTGGGGTTGGGAGTGACCAGTTACCTGGAGCCTGAGGAATCGGGGCCGGGCATAAGGTGGCAAGTTCTCAGACACATGAGTGTAGAGCTGCGTAAGGTCCAAAGAGTGAGGGGGACGCAGAGTCAGGGCCGCCATTCCAGCCCTGCCTTCATGCCCTGGTGGGTGTGGGAGACAGAGTAAGCCCCTCCATGGCTGACCACCACAAAGGCCTCGTGCTCCCTGCACCCAGGCATTACCAATTCAGGTGGTGCTGCGTGCCTCCCCCACCTTCCATGCCTAGGCACCTGGCACAGTGACTCCATAGACGTTCACCTCCTGAAGAAAATCCAGGGCCTCTAGGACCTCTGCCACCTCGGTTGTGGCCACATTCTCCCCCTTCCACCTGTCAGAGAGCAGAGATCTGAAACTGGGAGTCCGGCGTCAGGACCTATGGGCTTGGTGGGGAGATAAGGTCAGAGGTCAGGGTGCCAGACCGTCACAGGGATGAAACGGTGAGGCGGTCTGAGAATGAGAGATGAGCCGAGGACCTAGGTTGAGACGGCAGATTAGGGAGTTGAGGTTCAGGAGCTTTGGATCACAGAGATCAGATGTCCAGGATGAAGAACCAGTGATGGACAGATACCTGAAGGTGTCTCCAGTACGATCATGGAAGCGGAGAAAGCCTTGGTCATCGCAGACCAGCAGGTCCCCAGTGTTGAAGAAAACATCCCCAGGCCGGAAGACATCCTTTAGCAACTTCCCCTGGGCCAGCTCTGGCCCGCCAGCATAGCCCAGGAATGGGGACTGCTGGCTCACTGGGGCCACCAGCAGCCCTGGCTCACCTGGCAGAGTCACTGGGGTCAGGAGTGCTGTCACTTTTCCCAGAACCTCCTGCCCTCATCTACCCCAGTCTCTAATTCCAGTCCTCCTCTGCCAGCTTCAGCCCCACCCCACTGGAACACCGCCAACCTGGAGATGTGGCCACACAGTGCCCCTGGGCGTCCCGAATCGGCTCTCCTGTGGTGATGTCATAGCGAATCAAGGAGAAGGGGAAGATGTGCTGGGGGAAGGGAGACCCAGGTACTGGATCATGGCAGTCACATGAGCCCCTCTCCTGCCAGCCCTCTGCTCTTCCACAGGTTCTCCGTTTCCTCTCTGCCCTCACCTTGTACAGCCAGGAAGCACGCCCCACAGCACCCCGCTGTCCTGTGTAGTTGATGGTAGCCACGTTGCCCTCTGTCAGTCCATATGTCTCCAGCACCTGCAGGGGCCCGAAGCGCCGCACAAAACGCTCCCAGGTGTCTGGGCGCAGCCCGCTGCCCACTGCCAGCCGGACCTTATGGCCGTGCTCTGCCTTGTTCTGAGATGAGTGGGAGAGGGGCCGGAGCTTCAGCACCAAGATGCCTGCTCCTCGAAGTAAATTCCTGTTCCGCATTCCCCAGAATTCCCTCCCACTGTAACTTCCTTCAGAAACGGAAGCATCAGATGGCCTAGGCCATCTCCAGCTCCTTATCCTAGACTGCCATTTTCTTTCTTTCTTTTTTTTTTTTGAGGCGGAGTTTCGCTCTTGTTACCCAGACTGGAGTACAATGGGGCGATCTCAGCTCACCAAAACCTCTGCCTCCTGGGTTCAGGCAATTATCCTGCCTCAGCCTCCCGAGTAGCTGGGACTACAGGCGCGCACCACCATGCCCAGCTAATTTTTTTTTTTTTTTTGTATTTTTAGTAGAGATGGGGTTTCACCCTGTTGACCAGGATGGTCTCGATCTCTTGACCTTGTGATCCACCCGCCTCAGCCTCCCAAAGTGCTGGGATTACAGGCGTGAGCCACCGCGCCCGGCCTACACTGCCATTTTTTACTTGCTACTTCTCCCTCCAACTCCCTGTCTTAGTGTCCCCTGTCAACTGTCCTGCTCCTCGTGAGCTAGCCCTTTATCAGTGGCTCTGCCCCGGATCTGTGCCTACGCACCGGGGGCTGGTTGACAAGGTACCGGCACAACTCCCCGATGTACTGGAACACTGTCACCCTGTGCTGCTGGCAATCTTCCCAGAACTGACCAGCTGAGAACCTGGACTTCAGCACCACTGTGGCCCCTGCCGGAAGTGGGAAGTGGGGGAAGGAAGGAGGTAAGATTAAGAGCAGAGTGGGGAGTCTAAGCCCCTCTTTCCAGACCCCAGTCTTCACTGTAGTCATTCCCTGGGAAGGGCCCGCTGTGAGAGTCACACTGTCAGGAAGATGCGCTGGCCCTCTTCCCCCTCCCCTTGCCCGTCCCCAGCCTTGGAAGAGCTTAATGCCCTTTCCCTACTTCCCAGTCACAACAATCCCAACCTCCACACTCTCACCTTCTCATGTCTCTATTTGCCTGTTCCTGGACTGACACAGTCCTCCCCTGCCTTTGACCCTGAAGTCTGGAGTTATGTGGCTATATGGCCCCCCCTTGTTCCTCAGTCTGTAGGTCCAGGCAGGTGACACTGCCCCATTGTACAGAGCTCCTGGTGAATAGGGCTCTGCCCCATCTGTCCTCTAGATTCTGTACCCTGGTGGACTCACACCATAGTAGGTACTTAATATTTGCTGGATGAATGAATAAAGGTGGGGTGGGAAAGACTGACCAATGCCCAAGCAGCCCACAATGCCCAGCAGGGAGCCAGACATGTGGTAGAGCGGGAGGGCGAGGTAGATCACATCTTCCTGGTGGACGCCACACAACTGGTAGAAGCCCTGGCATTGCAGGATCTTCAGATGACTGATCCGAGCAGCCTTGGGGAGGCCTGTGGGGTGGCAGTTGTGGGGCGATCAGGGGAAGGGTGGACTCCAAGTTCTACCTCTGTTTGTACCCCCACTGGGTTTCCAAGAAAGGCAGAGGCAGGACAGAAGCTGAGGACGGAGGCCAGGCTGTACTGGAAATATGGGTGGTCTGGGGGAGGTGGAGAAACGAGGAGGAAGTGAGGGGACTGGAGAGTGAAATGAATGAGACAAAAAGGAAGTACCAGTGAAATCGGCATCCTCTCTGGGGGCTTTGAAGGAGTGGTCTGGGAGCTGAGGAGGTCTCAGTCCCTGTTCCCAGACCCCTCCCTTCCTCTGCTTTAGTTACCGGGAGGTAAGCATGGTGCCCGGCCCTCACCCGTGGTGCCAGAGGTGAAGATGTACAGGCACGTGTCTGTCATGCTCTGTGGGGAAGAGAGGTATCCTGGCACTGGCCCATCCCCTTCAGTGGACATCTCAGCCAGCAAATCGCTCATTCCCGCAGGGTGGGTCCCAGGGCCTGCAGCCCACAGGTGGAGCCCCATCGTTCTCAGGGCGGGCAGGTCCGGCTTCAGGGACTCCAGAAACTCTGGAAATGTGGGAAAGCACAGCGCCAGGGCCCTGGCTCTACCTAGAAGAGCCTCCCCTCCACGCCGCCTCCCCACCCCAGCCCACACTGCTCTTGTGTGAGGGTAAAGGGTATGGAAGTTCCATCATGGGTCTGAGGCCTGTAACTCGACTCCTTGAGGATCCTTGGGGCACCAAAGATTCCGCCTCATCCCTTCGCAAAACCGGAGACTTCTACTTCCACTCGCTTTCGAACCCTAAGGGATAGTCGGCTTCTTCCCTAACCCAGGGATGAGACCTAGCCCTTCGGCGCTCCCCGACACGCCCCCTTCTGTTGCTGGCCCCGCCTTAGTCAGTTCGGCGCTCCAACCTTACCTGGCGCCAGCACCAGTGCGCGCGCGCCGCAGCTGCGGAGGCAGTGCAGCAGGGGGCCCCGGCGCAGGGCGGTGGGCACAAAGGCCGTGCGCAGGCCGGCCTTGGCCAGCCCGAACCAGAGCCACAGAAACTCTGGGCCAGCGGGTAGGAGCAGCGCCACGGTCGCTCCAGGTGCCAGAGGGGCCGCACTGTCCCCTTCAGCAAGCGCCGCGCCGCTTCCGGCCGCTGCATCTCCGGCTCCCGGCGCTGCCCGATCGCCTTCTCCAGCGCTCCCCGCGCCGCTGTCGCCGCCGGATCCCCGGCCCCAGCCTCGCGCACGCAGGAAGGCGCGCGCAGCTCTGTTACTCTTGCGCTCCGCCTCCAAGTAGCTAAAGCGCCGCGAACCGTGAATGAGAAAGGTGTGAGCGGAGCGCTGCCGGGCCAGTTCGGCGAGGCGCCAGGCCAGGCTGCAGCCCCCTTCGGGACCTTCCGGGTCGGCGGCAGCCGCGGCTAAGGCGCGAGCTCGAAGAGCCCTTTTGCAGCGCAGGGCGCGCACCGCGAAGGCCAAGTCCGCCGGGAGCCAGCGCAACTGCGGCCAGAGGTGTAGCTTCAGCAGCAGCAGCGGTAGCAGCAGCAGCAGGGGCAGCAGCAGGAGGGCAGCCATGGAGCCCGGTTCCTCCGTCGGCACTGTCTGGTTCCAGCCGCTCGCAAACATGCCTGGTCCTCCCTCCCTAAAACCTAGAGCCGCTCGTTCTGAGACCTCTCCTTCCCGGGAGCGCGCGTGCGCTGGCACACGCCCCTTCCCACCCAGGCTCCCCCACCACTCCCCACGGGCGGAGAGCAGAAGCCCGGGGGTGGGGCGGCCCCGGACTCCCGGCCCTCCCCACAGCCTACGCTCCGCCCTAGGCGCGCTCCGTCCTGGACTGCTCTCGGCTCGCACCCTACCAAGTCCTGGGCGGTGCTCGCGCCTTCCCTCAATCTGAAGTTCTTTCTCGGCTTGGGTGGTTTAGGCATCTGGCTAAACTCTGGAGTCCAGGCCTGAGAGCCAGGGCGTTTGGATTGCAGTCCATCTTCCCCTCAATGTTTCTCATTTTCCCGTGAAGGGAAGGTACCACTGGTCTCCCCCAAAAGAATGAATTTGGCCCCTGGCCCATTTGGTTCTGCGAGTCCCAGCATGATAGGCAGGCCCATCCCCTCCTGCCAGCCGACAGCTGCAACCCCAGGGGATGGGTGGAAACCCAGACTGCCAGTTTAATGAGGGGCCACAATAGAGTCCCCTCCCTTTGGGCAAGGGAACAAAATTAGGACAAGCCAGCAAATGCTCTCCATCCTGGTTTTAATTGGGGCAGAGGAAACTGGGGAAGGAGAGAGGAAGGAAAAAAGAGGCCTCCGGTGGTTTAGGCTTTCAAAGAAAGTAAGGAGCAGCAGTGATGAGGGAGGGGAGAACCTGGATTCTGTAAAAAGAACAAATTTTCGGGCTGAAGAGCGGCTGTCTGCAGTTTGCCCAAACTTCACTCCTCTCAGTCTGCCTCCATTCTCCCTGGACAGCGGGGAACAATAGCATAGCCAAGGAACTCTCCTCTGCTGGTTCCCATGGCCCGGCAAGTGGCCAGACTGTGGAAGGAAGAGCATCTCCGTCCCTCCCTGATATCTGAACTTGATCTCCAGGTACAGTTGCTCCTGGAGACCAAGCTGGAACGTCCCTCCCCTGTCAAGCAGCGGGTCCTCCGGTGGTTGTTGGTAAGCACACAGACTTCATCAACTGGAGGATGACCAACCTTTTGGAAGCCTCTAGTTTGAGAAATGAGTAAGGACAGGCCTCATCCTACAGGGGATTGGTCCTGCCCAGACAGGTCAGTGCCTGGCTCCCACCTCCAGTAGCAGCAGGAAGGCTGGGTAGGGGCCAAAGCCAAGTCCCTTCTGCTCTAGAAAAAAGTGGGGGCAGAGCAGGAAGGGAAAGGGGGAGGTTCTGAGGTTACAAGTGGGGTGCCAATCAAATCAAGACCAGCGATACATGCATGGGGCAAATGCCAGCAGACACTCGAGCACAAGACATTCTGGCTTGTTTTATTGTCACTTAAAAACAACTTTTAAGACGCGATTATCTCTGCAAAAAAAAAAAAAAGCGACTCAAGGAAATGGGATCATTTGACAGTTCTGTGAACTTGCCTCTGGGACTCCCCAGGCTCTGGTTGTAGCTTGAGGTACCAACGTCAGGCCAACCGAAGCCTCCAGGGCACAGCACATGGGGCTGTGGCCACTCTTTCAGACTCCTTTCTGAATGCTTGCAGCATCTCTCCCCTGATTATGGACAGCCTGACCACGTCACAGATGCCCATTTCACACCGGCAGGTGGAGAGTGACTTTATAAAACGCCTCTTCAGAACCGAAACCCAAAGGTGGAAGCGGGAAGGGACACCCACACCCTGAGTCTGCTCGCTGGCCATATGCCCCTTTGTCATTTCCCTTCTCTGTTGAAATGGCTCTTTGGGAGTAGGGGAGGAGACTGGGGAAGGGGCCCGGGGGCTGAGGACTTCCACTATGGTCTGATTTTACAGAGTGTCGGGCTTCAGTCAGAACCCAAATATAATTGGGAACAGCAGTGTGAAGGGCTGGAGACCCCAGGAGGAGGGAAGGGCTGGGGGCTGCATGGCAGCTCCTCCTTCCACTGGGTGAGCCTGGGGATGGGGCAAGGGTGATTCCCCTGCAATCTCCCCAACCTCTATTAACCTTTGATTCAACAAGGAGGCAAGGGCAGTCCAGCTGGGGGTGGGATGGGGGAACACAGGGCCTCAGTCACTGTCAGAACCCACTGCAGAGGACCCTTTTCGTTTCCGCTTGGTAGGCTTCGGTTTTGTGTCCTCCTCCTCCTGGAAGAGAATAGGAGGAGAAACAGGAAGTTACCAGCCTGGGCAGCTGCTGGCGCCAACTCCACCTGCACCCAGTGCTCCTTTACCCGCTGTGCACTGGCTGGGCTCTCACCGAAGCACTGCTGGAGCCTGACTCTTCTTCAGCATTGGGGGGCTGTGTGGCATTCTTTCGACTTCGAGGACTGGACAGAGCTGCTTTTCGCCGGCTCTTGGGTGGCTTGGTGGACGAGTCCTCATACTCCTCTGCCAGGGAGAAGAGATCACTGAACCTGAGGGAAAGGAACAAGAGCTGTGACTGGGAGCCTGCTGCTCACACCACACCCCCATCTTCTTCTCTGCCCCAGACCTATGTCTCTCTTCTTCTTGAGACCGAGTCTTGCTTTGTCACCAGGCTGAATGCAATGGCATGATCTCGGCTCACTGCGACCTCCACCTCCTGGGTTCAAGCGATTCTCCAGCCTCAGCCTCCTGGATAGTTGGGACTACAGGCGCCCACCACCACACCTGGCTAATTTTTTGTATTTTTCAGTAGATACGGGGTTTCACCATGTTGGCCAGGATGGTCTTGATATTCCTGACCTTGTGATCTGCCCACCTCAGCCTCCCAAAGTGCTGGGATTACAGGTGTGAGCCACCACCCCTGGCCAGTCTTTTTCTTCAACCCAGGACCCTAAGGTCTTGCTAGCCATTACGTTTGTGTCCCTTAGGCCTTCCCCCCACTACTTTCCAAGGCCCGCAGGGGCAGGAGCCTTACTTCATCTTGTGGGCCTCATCACAGCTTGCCTGGACATGCTGCAGTGCCTGCAGAATTGGGGTCTGGCTAAAAACTAGAGGGAGAAAAAGGGAGCGCAGAGACGGAAAAACAATCAGATATCTGGGAGCTTATTAAACAGCACCCAAAGGTGGTTTTATCCCAAGAGTCTGGGTTTTGACCCCGGGTGTCCTGCCTCCCCCAGCCTGGCTCTAGGCATAGTTGGGGCCAGGGCAGCACCAACGTGGGAAGGCATACAGTTCTGCTTGGTGTTGGTCAGGTTGAGCCGCAGGTTGTCCAAGTGCTCCAGGATCTGCTCCAGAGTCAGCTGGGCCAGCTTGCTGCTAGAGCTCCTCAAGCTGTGCAGGAATCACCAGAGCCAGAGTCTGGGTGTGGGAAGGTTCCAGAGTGCGAGACACCCTCCACCCACCAGGGCCCCATAAGACAGAGGCAGCCTATATGGGAAGCAGGACAGGCAGGCTAGGAGGGCTGGGGTTGGGTGAGAGAGGTGTGCCTAGAACATGGGATCCTGGCCCCAGGGGCATTGGAAGAGAGGGAGAAAGGGCCACAGTGGTCTCACATGCCATGTGGCTTTGGACCACTAGATGTCGCCCACAAACTGGGCTGGGACAGCACTGGCGCCCCCGCCCCTCCCCAACCACCCCAGGGCAGCAGTCACTGCAGACTGCCTGGCCTGGAGGGTGGACAGGGACCGCGTCCCACCTCTGTCTCTTGCGAGGGAGGCTGTTGTTCTTGATGAGCAGGGACTTGATGTGCTCAGCCAGCAGCTCGTCATGCTTCATGCACCAGTGCCGCAGGATGCTGGTGGTGAACTGGTCGTCAGGATGGCAGGGCCGACTCAGCACCATCTTCACCATCTCCTCGCTGGGCCTGGGGGAGGAAGGGGGCCCTGGGTGCTGCTTGCACAGTGGCCACAGGGCATGCTGGGTCTCTCCCACTGATTTCCCAAACCCTGGCCTCCCCACCCTCTACTCTCACATCCCTCTCCCTCTTCTCTTTAGGCCAAGGAATGCCTGGTTTCATCCTCTGTGGAAGCCAGGAGAGAAGTGAGATTCTTCACTTGCTGTGGTAGGAGAAGGTGTATGTGTATATGTTGGGAAGAAGCACCCCCCCCCCGCCCCAGTTCTCCTCCTCCTCCACCAGACATCAGGGAGTGGGCCCAGGAGGCAGAAGCACAAGCATATGACATCCAGATGCTCCCCTACCCCTACCTTGCTAGAGCTATGGGCCAACCTGGTGTACAGTTGGAGGAAGGGGGCAGGAGACGGCTGTGAAGCCACAGCCACCCGCAGCCTCCCAGCTTCCCCTTCCTCTAGGACACTCTGTACCATTTCTAGTCTCTCAGGCAAGAGAGGAGAAAGGGTGGAAGGAAGGCAGAAAAGATACACAGCTGCTGTCCTGTTTATTGGGGACGCTGTTAAAGCAGCTGTGCGGGAAGGTGGGGCTGCCACTCTCTCCTCTGCCCCACCCTTTCAAGGCACAGTGGGTCCACTGGCTCTACTCTGCATAGGGTGAGGGAGAGGATGGTGCGTGACCCCTCTACCCTAACCCTCCCTCCTCCTGGATTAGCTGTGCAGTGGCCTGCAGGAGCATGGGGTGGTGGGGGCAGGGGAAGGCAGGCGCAGGGAGCAGAAGCCACCAGGGATTAGAACTGCTGTGGCAGCAGGAAACAGGGATGTCCGGTCCCCACCTCCCCACCTCCGAGGGCAGCTCCTGGTGGGCAGGGGAGTAAAGTCGAGAGGAAGCCCAGATCCCAGGGGAGCTGCTCATTAGTAAGTCACGCTGGGGGAAGGGCAGAATAAGCAGATGTTAATGACAGGAAAAAATATGGCAAAAGGAGCAGGACAGAAGCCCTTTAGACCACAGCAGCTCTTGGGAGGTTGAGACTGAGGGCTGAAGGGCGCCAGAGGTGGAACTCACTTTTCTCTTCGGAGTTGAAGCAGCAGGCAGGACAGGGCCTCTGGGTGCTCTATGAGGGAAGGGAAGAGGCTGTTCAGGGGAAGGTATAACTCCAGGATAGAATCTGAGGACCCCTCTCATCCCCTAACAGCCAGTGAAGGGAATGAGGAGAGTCTTTGACGAGGAGCCAGGTAGAGCCCCTTACCCCACTCCTACCAGTCCCTGAACCCCAGCCCAGAGCCTGGCTCATGGTGGGCCCACAGGACTCATCTAAAGAACGAAAGTGGCTGACAGGGAGCCTGACCTTGTGTACTTTGGTGGGAAGGATAGCAGTGCCTTGCCCTAGCTGAATTGCAAGTGTCATGTCTGATGTGCTCCCTACCCACAAATCGACTCACCCTTGTATTTGAGATGCTGTAGGATGGGGATTATGGTCTCCAGGGGAATATTGTGGGCCAGAAAGAGCTGCCAGGCACAATACTGCTCAAAGGTCTCCCAGTCTAGGCTCTGGACTGGAAGAGACAGAAGAAATATCTCCATCAAGAAAACACACACACACATACACGCGCACACACGGCGAATCCACTGACTACCAGCACCCCAAGCAGGGATGGTGCAGAGGTAGGAC